TGTCTCGCCTTACTCACAACCTCGTTCCCCAACACACAGATTCCACTTGCACCCAAGGACCACCCTGCGCCACACCCAGCTTACAGCAGCGCAGCTCGGCTATGGCTGCCTGCTCCTTCCTGCTCGCCCGTGAGCGCGTGAGTGGCACGAGCTACAGCGAGGCAGCGCTTACGCAGCATGCAGCCAGCACCCAAATGCCCAATGTGGGGGTAGGCCCTTTGCTATATCGAAGTGGCCTGCTTGTGTTCAGTCCCAGGAAGCTTCCAGTAGGCCCCGGTAGCCTGAGGCACAACACGAACGAGAACAGGCCTTGGGCCTGAGGTGGTTGCATGCCCTCAACTGCCTTTGGCCTGTGTTTGGCCCAGTACCCGTATCCAGCCCAGGGCCTGCTATCCATACATTCACACAAGCGGCCCAGGACCTGGGTTCCCTCAACCAACTGACGCCAGACTCATGCAACCTGCTACAGGCCCAATTTTTTGTGTGTGTGTGTCTTTTTTTCCTTTTTTTAATTTGCTTTTTATGGTTTTGATTTTTTTTTTAAATACCTAAAATTCCAAAAAAAATAAAAATATATATATTTTTGTACATCTTTGAAAGATCTACAACCCTATATTTTTTATTTGTTTTTTTTGTTTTCATTTTAGCCCTTAAACAATCTGTGTGAAACCCAAAACAAAAACACTCATTTCATTTTAGTTTTTGTTTTTTCATTGTGTGTTTATGTTTTTGATTTTTTAAAAATAGATTTAAGCATAAAAAAATAAAAATAAAATACAGGGTTGTAGTCCTCAACAAAACCTACAACACCTTTTTTTTTTTTTTTTTTTTTTTGGATAATTTTTCGCCCAGGAAAAAAATCATCCCGGACCCCGTTAATTCCCGTCCAACTCGCGTTTTTGAACAGGAGTTTAACGCGAATTCAACGCGAAACCCGCGTTAAATCCAATTTCGGACACACAGATCGGAAGGTATCGATGGGGAAGGGGTTACGGGGGAATATGACACGGGTGGTGATTTGGCGGAGGGTGAGATGGTCAAGGGGACGACGGGATAACGACCGGGGACGAAGCCCGATGGCCCGCATCAGTATGGGCTCGAACTGATGGACGGTCGGAGGTGGAGGGGGAGGGTGATTGGCTTCGTCGCCGCCTTGCTGGTGTGCTCGAAGTCTCGGCCGCTGGATCTCCATCTGCGGGCTTGGGCGACTCTAGATCTCGGGCCGGATCGTCGGCGATCTGCAGATTTGCTCCGCTGGCGAATTCCAGGTGTCGCTTTCCGGCCGCGATGTCCTCTCTTTTGCGCGCCGCCTTGGGGTGCTTTGCTTGAGCGTCCGTTTGCTCCGCCTCCTCCGTCGAGATCTCCCACTCAGATTCTTCCAGCTCTAGCTCTTCGTCTTCTTCCTCCTCACTCTGCTCTCCTTTGCTGTGTTCGCTATAACTCCCCTCCTCCGGTGTCTCTTCCTCGTCGTCCGCCTCAACAGCTTCTTCTTCTTCTTCTTCTTCTTCTTCTTCTTCTTCTTCTTCTTCTTCTTCTTCTTCTTCGATTGCTAACTCCTCATCTTCAGAGGCCGTTCGATCCTGGAAGAAAGCGGGGTCGATTATCTCCCGTGAGTCTAGATATCCCCGCTGCAATGGCGGGTTGCGGTCGCTTCTCGGCTCCTCCAAGCACGCCGACCACAGAAGGTACGGCGTCAACGTTCGTGCGAGGACGTGCGGAACCGGGCTCTCGTCGCTCTGGGAGACGATCTCAAGGGGGAGATCATCAACCAACTGCGCGAGAGGAATTGTGAGCTCCTGCACGATCAGTTGGCGATGGTCGGGCTGCACCGATCCGAACAGGAATCCGAGAAGATTGCCCTCCACGTCCGTTCTCCAAGCCTGGATGATCAACAACTCTAAGTACTCGACCCAAGTGTGATGCTCTTCGTCCCTTGTCCACATGAGTCGTACCCCAACCAGGCACACCGAAAGATCGACGAAGTGTTCACATCAGAGCCTCCACTGCCTTGGATCGAGGAGGGGGACAACGAGCGGCTCCAGACAGAAAGAGAAGCGAGGGTGAAGACCAGACTGCCAAAAGGTGGGAAAGAGAGATGGAAGGGCGAAGGTGGAGAGTTGAGAGCGGTTCATTGGGGACGCTGAAAGGGGATAAGTTCCGAAAGCACCACCGCCGGCTCGTGCTGGGATGCTTGAATCCCACCAAGATCGATGTCATCCGTAGGGACAAGATTGTCCCCGTGGCGCGTGAGCCAGTGGTTCCACTCCGCTGCCAATTGTTATCCCCACTCCCTTAGTGACGTCCGGATAGCTGTATGCCGCAGCGGACTGATCGTGCTGATATTGCCGCTGAAGCCAACAACTGTGGACACGTGGCTGATCCCTGGAGCTAACCGTCGATGGACAGCTACTGCCTCTGCCAGCACAACCACCTGGTGATTGCCCGCGAATCGGAACTCGGCTGCTACATATAACCCCGAAGTACAGAGAGAGAGAGAGAGAGAGAGAGAGAGAGAGAGAGAGAGAGAGAACAGGTACACACACACACACACAATCAATCAATCAATCAATCAATCAATCAATCAATCAATCAATCCATCAACTGATTTGATTGATTGATTGATTGGTTGATTGATTGATTGATTGGTTGATTGATTGATTGATTGATTGATTGATTGTGTGTGTGTGTGTGTGGTCATATCTGCTAAACACTTAAAAAAAGCATGACTGTACCAGACTGTTTCGTCGGACTTTCACCGACTCGTCATAAGGTTGAACCCCGACAATCTGTGTGTGTGTGTGTGTGTGTGTGTGTGCGCGTGTGTGTGTGTGTGTGTGTGTGTGTGTGTGCGCGCGCGCGCCCGCGTGTGTGTGTGTGTGTGTGTGCGCGTGTCTCTGTGCGTGCGCGTGTGTGTCTGTGCGCGCGCGCGTGTGTGTATGTGTGCGCGCGTGTCTGTGTGCTCATGTTCTCTCTCTCTCTCTGGCACGCGCGCGCGAGCGTGCGCGCCGTGGTCTTCTTTGCAAGTTGCGAGGCGTCGGTCTTCACTTCGCGGATCCACTATGGCGGACTTCTTCCGGCTGGCGCACCTCGGCTACGGCGCGCAACTCCCCCTACGGCTGACAAAGATGGCGAGTGGAATAATGGGTAGCTGCTCCCCCACCAATCAATCAATCAATCAATCAATCAATCAATCAACCAGCCAATCAATCAGTCAATCAATTTTTTTTTCCTAGTTTTTTCTAATTTTTTTTTCACACACCAAAAACCACCCCCCCCCCAAAAAAAAAAAAATTGAACTTTTTTCTGTTCAAGGGGGTGGGGTCGGGGTTCCGGAACCCCGAACCGCAACCCCCTTCCCCAACCCCCTCTCCACTCGGCCGCGGCGGGCCTCCAAAGTTCGCGGTCGCCGCGGGCATGACCACGACCGCGCGGCCCTGATCGCGGGCCGCGGTCGTGCCCGCGACGACCGCGGCCGCTGGGGATTCATAGTGGTTAACGCATTAGTGATCGATGTACAGTCATACTCTGTTGGGGTTACCTTGGGCAATGTTTGTGGGTGCGCGAATACATTTCGACTCCCAATAGCTCGTCCTTACACATACTGGAGGAAAACCTCAGACGGTTCCACTGCGAAAGAATCCCAATCTCATCCGAATAGGAATGATCCAAGTCCCGAGTCCAGAAGGGTCATATGAAAGCAGTGACGAGGACCAACACCCTTCCGATGATGATGAGTACGATGAGCGGGATTATGATGATATGTTGAATCACATGCCTACTGAGAAGGAATGGAGTCAGTTGATCGAACTTTTCGATCATAAGGCTAAAGAAGAAGTTCGGGTGATTCCGACTGCCACGCGGACGTTTGATCTAAACACCGAGAGTGGCGAACCTAGCCCTGTGCCGCCCGTATCTCTTTTTGCACCTGCAAAAACACAAATTCCAGCAACGTCATTCCTTAAGGAACTTATCTTGCAGATTTTCGATATGGCTGACCTGTTGGAACCCCCTAGATCCTTGTACGAGGGTGTGCTTTCATTACAGGAGAGATATCAGCAGATGAGTCAGTACCTAGATCTCTCCGAGTCTCCGTTTCTCCATCCAGATCATTACTCACGCAAGGTGCCATGATCGCATTAATTAGGCAAGAGGTTGAAGCCCCGATCAATGATGTTCCCGATCTAATACGAGAGATGGCTGAGTTAACTAGGTTAGAAATCACAGTAAGCGCCGCCAAACCTGAAACTGATCTCGAAATCAAAGAAACCGATATGATCAGCCCAGCCGAGTCACAGATGCTTGCCACGGTTTTTTCAACCCAAATCAGTAGCTCTATATTCTCCAGCGTAGGAGAAAAGCAACCAGTGGGACCAAATTGGATCAATGCACAACTTGATATTTTTTATCGACCCACAATCACCGTACCCGGTCACGTCCCCCGAGAAATTCGAAAATCTTTGATTAACGTATTGCATGGATATGTTGTGGTACTGAGTATGCATGATGGCGATATTGGGTTGTCTAACATGATTGAACACACGATCCTCACGGGGGATCATCCACCAATTAGTTGCACTCCTTACCGGTATTCGCCCGCGCAACGACGGGTCACGTTCCAAAGGATAAAGGAGTTCGAAGCTAATGGGTGGATTGAACCCGTCACCGGACCATGGTCGTTTCATGTGGTGGTTGTACCAAAGAAGGCGGGAGGGATTCGTATATGTATTGATTACCGAACGTTGAATTATATCAAGATCAAGAACGACAATTTCGTCGAAACGGACATTTTTTACTTTTTGTACGAAATTGAAAGTCCAAACTGCAGCCAAAAATTGATGAAATTTTGGGTAGGGCGTTCTGAAAACGCCCTACCCCCTTGACGTTTCTGGACTCAGCCAGAGTCCAGATACATCCAGAGGGGTATGGCGTTTTCAGAACGCCGTACCTCCCTGGACGTAACTGGACTCTGGCTGAGTCCAAAAACATCGAGGGGGTAGGGCGTTTTCAGAACGCCCTACCCAAAATTTCATCAAATTTTGGCTGCAATTTGGACTTTCAATTTCGTACAAAAAAATAAAAAATGTTCGTTTTGACGAAATCGCTGTTACGGACGTGTACCCCCTCCCCCGGATTGATGAGTTGTTGGATGCTATTGGTGGTGCTCGATTTTTCAGTAAGTTTGATGTTCGTCATGGATTCCACCATCTCCAGGTTCGAAAGGAAGATCGCTTGAAGACGGCCTTCATTCTTTTCGAAGGGACTTGGCAATGGATCCGATGCCCGATGGGATTTTACAATGCCTCGGCCACGTTTCAGTGCGCGATGAATATGACTTTTCATAAGTTCATGCGAAAAACGAGGCTGGCGTGGAGCATCATTAATTATTGTGTGATCGTATACATGGATGATATCCTTGTGTATTCGAGTTCCTATTAAGGACACGTGCAACACATTGAGTGGACGCTGCACGCACTGAAGGACGGTGGATTCAAGGTGGCCCTCAAGAAATGTCAGTTTTCCCTCACAAAGATTTCCTTTCTCGGCCACATGGTTACCAACAAGGGGTTGCAACCGGAACCACAGAACGTAGCTGCGGTGAAAGACGCGCCAATACCGACGTCAGTTACACAAGTATGCGCCTTTTTGGGACTAGCCTCGTACTATCGAAGGTTTATCAAGGGATTTGCAGCGATTGCGGGACCACTCACAAACTTGCTGAAAAAATATCAGTCGTTGATCTGGACTCCACAGTGTGATCAAGCCTTTCGAGAACTTAAGGCGGCTCTGATCTCGGCTCCGGTCCTTATAAGACCGGACCCTGAAAAACCTTTTGTTCTCATCACCGATTGGCAGCCCAAGGCGATCTCAGCGATCTTGGCCCAGGTGGGACCTGATGGCCTGAAAACACGTTATGGAATATGCGTCTAAATCGGTACCTTCTTGCAAGAGGAATTACTCCGCTCCAAACGGGGAATGATACGCGGCCTTGTGGGGAATCAGTCACTTCTAGGCTTACTTATATGGCCGGAAGTTCACATTGGTGACTGATCATGAACCACTGTTGGCCCTGAAGAAGTCCAAGGACTACTCGGGTATGACTGGATGATGGGCTACCATGTTGTGAAGCATGGAGTTTGACATTCGTCATCGGAAGCACGAGAAACACGGCAACGCGGACGGGCTGGTACGGTTGCATCGACCCGGCAAGGTCCCCAAGAGTGAAGAAGTGATACTGTGCCATGATCCGGAGCCAAAGAACGAGCCCCAGTACGATGAGGTGGAGATCCTTCTGAAGGAGTAGGTGGACACGGGCCCCCTCTCTATCCCTCTTTCTTTCTCTTCTTTCCCCAAACCATGGCAACCCCTTCTTCTTATGCTCCCAATCCCACCGATCCGAGATCCCCCTCCTTTTCAGCATTTGGAATTTTTCGTCGATCTTCCGGACAAGTTCTGTTATTTTTGTATGTGTATCTCACAAGCTTATGGGGTAGACTGCTACCCCTTTGAATCGAGGTTCACTGACTGGGTAGAATGCGCCACCTGCGTTAATTGTGCGCATGGCGCATGTGTTCAATATCTAACGAGTAGTAAGGCGTGGAAATGCCCTCTGTATCGAACGGACAAGCTCCCCACGGAAGCTCGATTCGAGGCCACCCGAACTGACGGCCCCGAATACGATGAAAAATACCGAAGGGCTGACGTATGGACGGATGAAATACTATTAGCTAAATTAGCGGGCAAACCATTGGATCATCTCACTCAGCATGATAGGTGTCGGGTCACGGAGAAGTCCCGAGATCATCGATGGATGAATGGTCATTTGGAAAAACGTAAAACATACGCATCGGGATTGTGGTTGATGGTTCCCCATCCATTCCAACGATATGACTGGACCAGATCAGCGCACGAGGAACAGGCCACTCATTTTGCGATACGTGTCACTGAAGCGACCATCGACCAAAATCGA